ACTGCCTGAGCAACATGTGCATGTGACGACAGTACCCAGCTGTTTTAGCATATTGTTCGGCCTTTTTTTTTAAACCAAAAGCAAATTGATGCATGTCATGGGATTGAAGACTATAATAGATATAAATGTCTTTTTCATGTCAGTTTGCTTCTGCACCTCCCCCTGCCTCCTGCCAAGTGCATGCTGGGATAGGGATCAGACACCTGTGACTTTGAATAGGATTATCATGATTATCATAAAAACAGGACACAAAAAAAGCCAAGCAAAACATAAAGTAAGAAAGTAATGAATTCAAATGGCCATAAAAACTTAGTGCTAAAGTTCTCATTTTTAAAAAAACAAATCTGAACTTTATGAAAATTATGGAGCGGCGGCATCTGTACCTGGGGTGAAATGGGCCGTCGCAAAGCTGAGCTTTCATCTGCAGGAAACATAAACAAATGTCTTTGTTCTTTCAAAGGAAAGAGGGGCGAAAGCCACAACAAACAGGGCCAGTGTGCAGTGTGTGTGTGTGTGTGTGTGTGTGTGTGTGTATGCACGTGAAAAGAAGCAAAAGAGAAGAGGAAAGAGAGACAGAGAGAGAGAGATCAAAGCAGGGGGTATGTTTTTGAATCTCTGTGTGGGAGGTGAAGCCTCACCTACCCAGAATGCCTTGCCTCACTCCTTACAGCCCACTCAGGTTTGTAGGAGCATCACATCTCTTAGCAGCGAGCGTCTCATGATGCTACCTCTTCATCAGTCATCTCCAGATATTCTCAGAGTCTTAAAAACAGTGACTTGGTGTGAACCAGCAGTCAACCTCTGATCGCTGGTACATAACATTACCTCCCACGCACAGACCAACATGTGTATTCCAGCCACCCTGACATAGCAATGTACAGAGCTTAAAAATCTACAAAACACGAACAGTCTTGTGTTTCGCAGTCGAAGATTTCTACTTAGTTGGATCAGAGCCCATCCCCCCTCCATCCAATCTCGTGAAGGGATCGAAGCGTCTCTTTTTAACTCAGCGTGAGAAGCTGCAAACAGATGTCTGTCTGTCCACACAGAGGGGATGTGGTGCCCTCTCACACACAGATGAAAAGCCATGAAAGTCTCTGTGTTGCGTTGTCAGTGTCTTAAGGCAGTGTTTATCTTTGGCAGGCTGAAGAAAACAAAGCCATCGATTTCTAATCCTAATCCCCCTCTACTGCTTCTCTCCTATTGATCATCTATCCATCCTTAATGAGATGGAGGAATGGAGGGATGGAGGGCTGATGAAGGACAAAACTTTCCCTGCTGATGTGCTGCCGTCTTTTCCCTCAACCCATCTCTTTTCAATTCGTCTCTCTTGCCTGTGGGGGCTTTCACTAACTTGACGTTCTTTATGGTGGAATGGAAAAATAAATGCAGCCTGGTGATTTTGTAGAGGTCTATCAAACCTGGAGGCTCGCAGAGCTTTGGAGGTTCACCTAAATATTGAAATTGGATGACATGGATGAATGCGCTAAACACACAGAAGCGCATGCATGCATACACAGTGAGAGTGGATTTAGTTTCAGTCCAAACACCAGTAAGGGTATTTCTGTCTGTGTGGTACAATGTCTCTGAGTCAGTGATATTCTCTGATCATGACCCATTACCACTCTGCTCTGCTTATTCACAATATAAGAATCATTTCCTCATCTTAAACTAATATTACTGAAGCTGTGGGGTCGATGATTCCCTCTCGCTGGTACTTGCACATGCATATGTCCGCTCTCCTCTCATAGGAGTTTTAGAGGTTTGCTTCTTCACTACCAACCTTCATTGACTTATCAGAGCTTATTATTGTCTTATTATGGTTATCTATGGAGCGTATGTGTCGCAGCAGGTTTGACAGGTTGAGCAGATACTCGAGGACTGTGGTTTCTCCAGGACTGTGGTTTGGCTTATCTCTGGCTCACTAACGCATGACAGTCAGTTAGTTGAATGTAACCACTAAGCACAGGGTGTAAAATCAATTTATACAGAAGTGGTGTTAAGAGCTCCGCTCTACTGTAAGTCACGTGCAATTTGAACAAGATGGAAGGGTGTGGACACCAGAATCCCAGAAGAATCTACAAGATATAAAGGTCTGGGTGTACCTATAAAAAGAAGAGAGTTTATAACCTTTGCAATGACAATTTTTCAGTAGACGAGTACCATGTCTAAAATTGCAACCAATGCAAAAAGAAGGAAAGATTTTTTGTCAAAGTAGTGTTTAAACCAGCCATCTTTGTTTAAAGTTCCACTAATTATTACTATTGTGTTAATGATGGTGATGATGAACCTACAGTTAATGATCAACTAACTCAGCTGTACGAAGTTTTTTTTAGCATCTTTTAGCATAATGTTTTGGTTTCAAAACCCACACTTTTACTGTTTTGGTTCACTTTTACCATTCTCTTTGATATCTAGATAATCTTCCATTAATTTCCCACCATGCAGCTGCTGCTTCTGGCATAAAAGCTGTGATATACCCACTGTACGCTACCTGCTCAGTAACAAACAGGAAAAACCTATAGAGTTAATGGACACCCAAAAAGAGCTAAAAGGAGGGTGACATTCATCAGAAAGACATAAACACACCTCCAAATCTTTATATCTCTTGATAGGAAACAGTTTGTTACCATACTTGTCATATCAATTTTATTAGGGAAATGTACATGTTCTGTTTACAGCTTTACAAAAACAAGAAAATATTAATACCACAATAGATACCTTTGTTCAAGTCACTTATGTTGCACTTCATTCCTGTTGAGAGCTTCATTTCAGTATACTGGGTATGCTCATTGCACTCCACACCATGGCATTTAGCAGAAACTAAAATTTTCTGCAATTAATTAGAGGTTTGGGATTCAGTGTGTTCATCAAGGACACCTTGGCCGCACACACTTTCTGGCACAGAGATCTGAGTGTTTCAGACCAATACAGCAGGGCAAATATGACATTTTCACTTAAATTTGAAGGGCAAGTCTTTAGTGAAGAAAATATCTCATTTGAATTGTTATATTCTTAAATTTCCTCTTGTTTACATGGCTATGGAAGACCAGATTATCATTCTTATCTGTATAGTGTATGTGAGTTACTAACTAGAACAACCTGTTAAGTAAAATAACAACCTTCTTAGTGTCTTCTTAAGTTTCTCCCCAACTCATTTTGGTTATCACATCAAAGACCAGGATCCTGTGCCTTCTGACGCTGTGACCACAACCAGGGGGGCGGAATGAGGGAAAGACTGACCGTGACCGTTGAAAATATACTTCTATGGACCGACTCAACCCTAAACCTGGTCAGACACTAAACTAGATTGTGATGAAGAGAGGAAAGGCCTGGCACACCTGCTGTTAATGCTGGAGATCCCGAGACGTATTTGTGTTGTTTGTGCACAGACCTGAGATTAATGTTAATCGCTGTGGTATTCCCATTGGGATCATGGGTAAACAATGGATCTAATGTGGGAGGTCCGCTGTAGACACACCCCACATTCCTTAAGAGTCACCTCTGAGTGCAACTCGGAGACATCCTGGACTTAACTTGAGGTCAGACGCAAATGACAAACAGAAAGAAAAGGTGACCCTGAAGAGCTTTCAAAATGAAACCACGTCTAGTTTTTACAACAACAAAAAAACAATGCTTTGCTTGCAAAACTTTGGAGAAATTGGATGATTTTGGATAGATTATGCATGTCACTGCAAAAATGGCACCCTGGGGATGTTTCTCCCTAAGTGTGTGATAATGGCTGCAGCAGAAGTCATTAATAGCAGGCTAATGTGTGTCAGATGGTACCTGTCCAGCAGCAGCAGTAGCAGCAGGGGAGAGAGATCCAGGACACGAGTGACTGGCCAGCATAATGAGAGGGACATGGCCTGCCAACTTGGGCAGCTGCTTCTCTAGTGGGACTGAGTAGCGTATGTGTATGTGTGTGTGTGCGCTTTCTGCTTCTTTTTTCAATGTATTTCTCATCAGCAGCATCTAGAAATACAGCTACACACGCACAGCCTCACACACACATACACTGACAACCTCATCAGGGTTACCGTGGGAATGCCTGTGGCATTATGTCAGTCATTGAGGTGATGCCTTTAATCCTGAAACAAATCTAGACTTTGTGTAGTGTGTCTCCGGCTGTGTGTGAGTGAGCGTGCCCGCGTACAAAGCCCAATCTCACACCCATTACATTACGGCTGGTCGCGCAGCAAAGACACCCCACTGCCACTCCCACATGGAAGAGCAGGCAGGATTAGCCGGCTCTATACCCGCCCTAATCTGGGGACAAAAACCCACAATCTCCCTCCCACTGAGATACGGAGACAGAAAGATTCAATTTGATCTGCCCTCCTCAATATAACAAGAGTATCTTTTAGGGTTAAAATTACTTCTGCTCACTCTACCATCGGTCAATGTGGATTCAGCCCTAAACGGTGTCCTTTTTATCCCTATGATCGATCCCTTTTATCACAATTTGGAACACCTACAGGCCGTGATCTGCAGTGAATGCAAATGGAAAAAGCTTTTCAAGAGTGTGCGGCCATGTTAGCAGCTCTTAGAGGCTGTACTTATAGGCAAAGCGGTGCATTGAGCTACATACCAAAGGCAGAATACTATAGTAGTATTCACCATCTTAGTTTAGTGTCTTAGCATGCTAACATTTGCTATTTACAACACAAAGAACAGCTGAGGCTGATGAGAATGTCAGTTGTATATGTTCATAAACCAAAGTAATGGATAATAAAAAAAATTGACCTGACCTGATGGTGCTAGAGGAAAAATCAGGGGATCACCAGAGTTATTAGGATTCATCCTCTGGGGATTATAAATGTTTGTATAGAATTCAATTTCAATCCATCCAATAGATACTGAGATATTTCAGTCTGGACCAAAGTAGTGGACCCCCAGCATCATCCATAGTGCCAGGCTGCTCTGGTTAGTAGTGACTTTATCCACCGTCTGCATGCAGTTATTTCCTACAAGAACAGATGCCATTCTATCACTTTTCAAGTAGAGCTCAGCGTGTGATGCATCATCACAAAAGGCTACCTGCTAAATGTGTTGTCAGTGTCTCATTATTTGACAGAAGCTGCCTGTTTCATTGCCCTGAGCCAAGCAGACTCTCTTCCTCTTTCTATCTCTTACTCAGAGGCATCTGCCTCATTAACCACCATCAGCATTTTGTTTGCTGTGTGTGATTTGGATGTATTGGGAGTGAGGCGGGGGGTGGTGTGTGGTTGTGTGTGTTCACTTGTGTGTGTGCAGGCAACTCTCATTAGGCTGGGAAAACTGAAATTTTTTGCCAGAATCCACATCATATCTTCTCTTCCTTTATGTATCAAAAGGTTTCTCCAATCAACTCCCTGGTGCGTGTGTGTATGTGTGTGT